TTTTGTGTGTGTGGGGGGGGAATGGAGACGGAAGCAAGGTTAACCAGTATTATGCTCTTGGCCATGTCTCTGGAAGTTAGGCTGGCTCATGTCTCCCCTCCATAGCCAGTAACAAAGATGTTGCAACCGGGATTTCACTAACAACTTCGTTTATAACATGAAAGACAGGATAGCATATATTTTGCTCTCTCATAGCCCAGCTGGCACTCCACTGATAAAAGGACTGAAAACTAATGGCAGACTACTCTCGCAAGTGAAACATGCATAGGAAAGTTGTAATACACATAGAGAACAGATCTGTTCACTGAGAACATGCCTTTTTCACACAGTCACTTTTCTAACTGTAGCTACACTTTATACTCCAGGCATAGTTCTGTTTTTGTCTGCTGTGGCACAGCAGATATGAAGCATTTAAAACCTTTTAACAGGACCCAACCTAAGGCTAAATGACAAAACCCTGACAATATAATCCTTAAATTTACATCCCTAGCATTTCAAAAGTTTTGTGACAGAGTAAAACACCTCAGTAAATCAAAATTCTCCCACTGAAAAAAACAAAAACAAAACAACAACAACAAAAAAAAAAAAAAAACAGCCATGACTCATCCAGTGGTAAGAGAGGCAGAAATCTCCATGAAGTGGAGATTTTGAACAAAAAAAAGTTTTGAACAATAAAAGTTTTAAAGATGCAATTTTAAAAATACCTCAGCTTCCCTGCTCTATTTGCCCATGACTCTATACTGGAGGAGGAGACAATATATAGGGATTAGTTTCTGAGAAATCTCCCTGTTGATATGCGTGTGTCTTCAGTCTAGGGTGGAGACTACCTTCCCTTTAAAGTGTATTACATTTTTCTTGTGAAGTGAGGCAGTGAAATACCAGGCATCTCAGAGGAAGGCTGCATCTTGCTATAGCAAAGACTCCAAAAAGTGGTTTCTGCAAGAGAATGGAACTGGCACACAACAAGAAAGTCCCTCTATCTACTAAAATAAAAGACATTAGACTTTTAAGGTCCCAGCAGCCACTTTTTTTAGCCAGTCAAAATACCACTAGCACTGCAAGCACACAGGGTTAGTTCACATATGACAGTTACTCTTTTTCAGAGGTAATAATCCCAGAATCTAATTTTACGATTCACCCTGGAGACATGAAACAGAAATCAAACTATCCATATTTTGCAATCATTTTTTGGCATGATCCATGTGGTAATTAAAAACCCTTAAATGGAAATTGCTGCCACAATTTGCAGGCTTTCTTAATCCAGCTATGGTATCTGCAGCACCTCCAGGCACCTGTCTTGTTCTCATAACACAAAATCAACAATACCATGGCTGGGTTGGAGGGGGTGTCTGAATGTGATGAGAACTTAGAAAGGAATGCCAGTATGAAAACTTGGCTGGTATTTTTTGCCTTTTGTTTTGTTTTGTTTATTTATCTAACCATTCTTTTACCAGGAAATATCACACGGACAAATGAGTTTTCTTTCACAAAGGCATCCAGGCCAAATAACACTAAATGGTTTTAACAAAAAATTAATTAAAAGAAAAATATTTAAACACTGTAATTCTAAATATGGCCTTCAGCTACATACATGCCAAGCTACAATAATTGCAATGCAATAAATCAGTGTGAGATATATACTAACAAAGTAAAAACCTCATTTTTGCCAGGACAAGTGCAAAGCTCTCTTAAATATTTTGAAACTACTGACTTGAAATGATCAATTATCAACAGACAGCTGCAAAGGTTTTTTGTTTTGTTTTGATGTTTTATTTTCTTTTTAAATGAAATTTAGCTCTCCACTGCTGGAGTTGGACTTTATAACTACCTTTTTTTTTTTTTTTTCATTCTGATTTAAATAGCCCAACGTGTCACTGTCTAGTTTTCAAATTCGCATCCTGTCCTATTGCCCAATTTTCTCTTCCCCATAGTACTCACGTCAAACCTTTCAATGGGAAAAGTGCACAATATCCTCCTGAACTAATTCTTCTTATCAGCTTTTATGAAGATGGAAAAATCCAAACAATGGCATGTATTGTCCTATGAATACAAAAATCAGATATTTTATTTTTTTTTGTACTGAATACCAAACTCTGGTTTACTATTCCAAAGAGAAAATTCATTACGCTATAATTCCTGGATATGTAGTATTCAACACAAGCCATTTTTAATGTATTACCATTCTGGGGAGGTGCTTGAGCACAGCCTGGAAAACACACATGGTAACGAGTCACGTACATCTGCTTTTCCAGAGTAGTGCACTTTTGTATACTGGTGGCACAATTCTCCACCCTGATTCTCCTACCCACTGGAGCATACTAAAGTACAAAATAACAAATCACCCTCTACCTCACACTTTGCCCTCTGAAGGGCTGCTTTTTCATAGAGTTCATATCATTACTGAGGAATATACTCTAATTGTATAATTGCTATGTAATACTAATGCTATTAATGCTATTTAATACTCTCTGCCCTTACACTTCTAGGGAATTTGAACACAACTAAATTCATAAAGCTTAACCTGGCTGGAGAGGGATTGTTGCCAAGTGTTGGTGACAATCAGATTTGTAGTGACATCTACTTTTTTTACGTGCTGACACCAGACTCAGCTCATCTTTCAGACTCTCAGAACTTTCCTCTGTACAATGGCCTCTTCATCCAGCTCCCTTTGGTGACACTGGCCCTGGTCGCACTACTGCTCTCTGTAAGCCTGGAGGAACTTGACAAACTGCAGCAGGCTGGGGAAGCAGCAGCCACTGACCTCCCACCTCTGCAGGTGGGGTGGCTGTGAATCCCAGCATGTGCCTGGTCCTGCAGTGCCAGGTGGTTTGTGCCTGTCTTCAAAGCCTACAGCCCAGTTAGAGGAGAGAGCATTGCCCAGGGCCAACTCTTCTGCTTCTTTATCCCTTGTTTCATTGCCTAGGGCAGGATGCTTGCTGTTGTCCACATTTCACATTATGGTGAACTGGAGCCTGGACTCGGCACAGGCACAAGCCCAAGGCGCTGTGCAACATACCCCTTTGCAGAGATCTTTACCGAAGGTACAGTGGAAGTCAGAGAGTTAAACAGTTAATGTTAATAGCCTTCATGCCAAACTATTTAATGTTTGTTTTAAAACTTCAGCAATATGCGTTCCACAAAAATAAACTTCTGATATTATTCATCTGCTGAATCTGCCTCTATCTTATTTTAAGCAATGGATAACGGATAAGGCATAAAGCAAGTGACAAGCAATTTAACCTTCCTCAGTAGACAAATACTGTTTATCTTATCATGTAAATTATGAAAATAGGCCTAGAGGATTTGGCACACAAAACTCAACACACAACAGTTTGAGTAAAGCCTTAGAAGAAGATAACAGGCAGTCCACCATTAAGACAAGGGGGTGAAGGGTTGTATGACATGTGCTTGAACCACCATTGTGTATCTGAGACAGACTAAAAGAATCTTTAAAATCATTTATTGCTGTATTACTCTAATGTAAAGTAAATATAGAAATCTGAACCTGAAATTGTTTAATTTTGGCGCTTGACATCTCTTTTTTTCAGTAAGTGATGTATGAATTCACCATGAATATTTTTGCAAACCTTCTGACACCACTAGTTTGAATAAAGTGTTATCGATTTCTAATCATGATCAAGAGAGTATATAAAAATGAGAGGTTCAAGACATCATGGAAAGAGGAAAAATCATTTAGAATCTAATCAGTACACGGTGAATAGCACATAAAAGGAATATTGGGTAAAATAGAAGGAAAGAGGGAGGAAGAGCAATTTCTGTGAGATTATAACTGAAAAGATATCCATACTATCTACATATAACTGAGCCAGCATACAGCCCTTGATTAAATTCCTAAAATAACACTGACAACACTGTACTTGTTCCTTCCACTGTCATTATGACAAACAGTCCTGGCACGAACCATGACGGTGAGGCCCACCCTCACCCCTGACCTGTCTTAAGCAAAGCTATGGTACACCTTGCAGGCACTTGACACACTTACATTCTCCATTTCCTTATTTCCAAAATCTGCTGCCTGAACTTGTGCAGCCTTACAAAAGGGCAGCTGCAAGTTTCTCAGCTGTGTAGGCAACACTGAATTTTGCCATCCTGTGGGTTAAGAAAGAATCAGGGCAGAAATACCTCAAGGCACTGACTGGTACTCATGAGCACCAGCAACTGGGATGCAGAGCTACCCCTGATAAAGGTCAGGCAGCTCACTCTCTTACTTGGACCTAGACCATTCAATAAGGACAGAAAGCAACTCACTACCACTGTGAATTTGTTGCCTCCATAAGTCTGCTTTCCTTAAACTAGTGCCTGCATTGCTCAATACTAAAGAAAACCTGCCATCCAGTTTCTTATTATAAGTAGTGAGGCATTGAGCACTGACAGTTGAACATGTTTTGTATTAACTTTAGCCTAACGCCACCACAGATCAAAAAGCCTCCAAGGCCTGTCCGAGACCTTCAAATACAAGAAAATCCCTTGCAGCCACATTCAGCGGGCTGGCAGGAGAAAGGGAAAGGCATGCCTTTTATACAGGAGCCACAGTCACCAAGCAGGGTGCAAGTGGAAGCTAGTTGTAAAGGCAATTACGTTCCTTAGCACTGCCACAAGGCCTGACAGGACAGGGAATGGCTGTCTTGTAGGACTGCTGCAGCAGCCTGTCTGCAACAGGCAGTCATGAAGAAACAGCCCTTGTTGCAGAGATGGACTAGCAGGTAAAATACTCTTTCCATATAGATTAGAGCTCACTGACCAGCTGTGGTGGCCAAGAAGCTGTCATAACGTTATCAGCCAGTGGCTGATACTGGGCATGTAGAGATTTGAAACCACAGGCGGCCCACTTCACTTCCTGCCAGACATTTATTTTGCAATACAACAAACGAAGACAGGCCTTTGCATTGCAAATGCCACATTTCATGAATCTGAGACCACAAAAGCAATTTGGCTAATACTTTCATGTTAGCAGAAGCTTGCTGGTCAAATCACTTTACCTTTAAATAACAGTAGGACAGCAGAGGTCAGAGCAGTGAAGCTGCTGTGAAGGGTTTTTTCAGTCATCCTGAGGTGATCTATGCCAAGCTGCAGACCTGGGCAGGGGTGTGATGGATTCTTCCCAAGCTTCGTCTGTTAGTCTACAACATAAATAAAAGCAGGATGATGTGTGGAAAGCTTCTCTGGTAATCCCTATACCCATATCTCTTACAAAATTCAAATTGGGAATTACCCATAGTTTAAGAAAATTTCACTTCTCCCATACTCATTCAGATTTTGATGTGGTACTGACTTAGAGGAAACCATTGCTGTAAACTATTTTCACAGATGACTAAACCAAAAGGAGATTATCATCACTTCATTTGATGTTGGTAACTAAGTTTTGGAAAATAAAATGAAATAACCCTTTGTTATAGTTTGGAGACTAAGTAAAATCATATATAGTTTCACAACATATGTACTTAAAACTGTAAGATTTCATCTCCTAACCTTTTATTTCAAGAACTATTTATGTAGATATACTGTACCTTGGGCTTTTTGGTAAATGGAATAAAACAAAAAATGAAATGAACACCATGTACAAAAACCATAGTCCACACTGCCTTAACTCTGGTCCTTTACTTGCCTCCTTGCAATTTATTCCAACACTACCAACTTTTACCCGTGAAAGGTCAGCATATGATTTTTTTCAATGTCAGTTGACACATCCAATACAGTACACTGATGGAGCCGGATGAAAAAAAATCCATATACTTATAGGAAAGGGGTGGCACATGAATTAAAAAAGTAATATTGTCTATTTTTCCATAGCTTGTAAATGTTTTAAGTAATCATTATATGTATTTATTTATTTTATTAAAAGGAGCGACATTTTTGTTTTGATTTCCTTGCTCTGATCCCACTTATTACCGCTGTCTTTGAAACTCCACAGACACTGCATTTGTTTTACTGACTGGACATTTCTGAAATAGTACCACTATCAGGTAGATCAGATTGTTGGCAAAAGCTTTGGCACCAAAGAGACTCAACAAATAAATTTCATCACGCTGACCCTGTACTAAACAGCAACTTTATGTGGATAACCTCATGGGAATGGAAGTTGAGAAAGAGCTATTTCAAGGCCGCCAATAACTTAATCTCTGTTTGGTTCATAATGCAAAGCCATTTTTGTTTCCTTTGCTCACTGTGCTAAAGAGTTTTTGGGATGCTGTAATCCTCATAAGGTGGGGAGGGCAGTGTGGGGGGTAGGGCTTTGCAGGAGGGAGAGGAGATCCCACTCAAATTATGCCCCATTTAAAAAAATGAAAAATAAACAAAAAGCCAAGTTTTCATCTTGGAAATTCTCAGCCTCAGTTACATGAGTGCAAAAAGTAACTTTTATTTGAAGAACTAACACTCGCTTCTTTGTTAAGAAAACTTAGGGCACAACCCAGCAGACATGAAGGCTCCTATGTTATCAGCAAACTATTTCCTGGGTATATGTTCACCCTTTCCATGCAGCTTGCTTATTTTTTCAACTCCACCCCCCCCCCCCCCCAAAAAAAAAAAAAGAAAAAAAGAAAGAAAAAAAAAGAAAGAAAAAAGGCAGTGCAAACAAACTCTGTAACACCACTGAATGATCTGTGTTTTGCTGCAACAACTACTATATATTGATGTAATGGAAATTTCATAGGTGTCCAGCCTTGCAGAAACAGGATTGGAAAGGTGCCAAGGGGAACCCTAGTGCAGCACTGCTTGTTCTTTCCAAGGTAACAGGGCTCTGCGCCATGCTGCTCGCCATCATCAGAGAATGGGCTGTAAGAGGCAGAGGCAACGTGCACAGCCCAGCAAAATAAAGCGGGTAGAGGAACGCAAACCCCTCACTCCCCTGTTAATGGTTAACCTAACCCCTTACCCACAAACATGTCACCAGTTACTCTGCAAAGCTATCATTGCAAGCCTGAGCACTGCGGAGGAATGAGCTTGAACGATTATATTCTCTGCCCATTTGCCTCTCCTCCTAGTTTTGAGCCTAGATGCTGGTGTGAACTATGTGTGATGGGACTGGGAGAAGGCAGGACTCTCAGATATACCGTGTTCCTTCAAAAGTCCAGAAAGCCAAGGATGGAGAGAGAGCAGCAGGAGAGCCTGGCCGCATGGCTCCGCTGCGGGGACACCCTCAGCAGCTTGCAGTGGCTCTTTCCCACCTGCCCTTCTGTCCCCATTGGTCACCAGGCAGAGCACCCTGCAGTGCCCTGAGCCTCTCACCCCTCTGGCAGGCACATGGGGATGCAGGAGAGATGGGAGGGAAAGAGGGAGGCACAAGGTCAGGTGTGAAGGGTGTAAAAAGGGAACACGAGACACTGTGGGCTGGGGAGGGCTCAGGGGAAGGGAGCCAGGTTGCTGCTGTGGGCAGCTGGGATAAAACTTAGTCATCAGTAATGCATAGTTTATGGGTCAAATGGTTCTGCTACTGGGTTCCTCCTGCTATTCCCCCTTAAAAAACAAAAACAAAAACAAAAACAAAAACAGTTTTGAATGAGCAGCAGCAGCGATGGGAAAGGAAGATTATACATGAGCCTAAATCAATAGCAGATACCACATACACGAAAGTATTCCTTCCTACAATTCTCTGAGTCTCCTCAAGCAATAAGCCAGACAAGGATACAGAAAAAACATAAATCCTGAAGAACAGAGATGCTAGGCCCTGTAATATCATGTGCAGTAGAATGGAGCAGTCTTCACTGCCTAGGGCACTGAGGTGATGCTTGAAAGTAATGCTCTCCGCACCATCCCCCCAAAATTGTGGATCTCTGCCTCCACAGCATTGTCTGGCGGCATGACCCTCTAGCTTGCAATAAGCTCCCCTCTATGCTCCTGCATGAGAATCTCCTTGTATCCTGGGAAAAACAGAGAGAAACACTGCATCTGCAAGACACTGAAGTCTCTTCTGCTGACCAGATTGAGCCTGGTGGTGTAACAGAGCTGAGCTTCTGCTGAGGGGCCAGTCTCAGGAGTCAGTGAGCTGCACAGACCTCTACAGCACGAAGAGTGATATTAATACAAAAAACAGGTGGTGCACAACTTTCTCAGTTGTGCTGTTTTGAATTTTTTTTCTTTCTGAGAAAAATGACGATGACCTCTGTCCCTCTATTACTCTAACTAAATCTTTAGTACAAACTTTTGACTTCTTTTAAAATACAATGCACCTTTTCATGAAGCTGCCCTTGGAAATCAGCCGTACTGAATATTGCTGCATGTATCGAGATACAGTACAGTTTATAGGGTACGTTAGTTTCTAAAGAATTGGAAGGAGAGATGAAGTAGTCTTGTGAGAGGAAGCTTTTTTTTTTTTTTTTTTTTTTTTTTTCAACTAGAGAGTCTATGGATTTCACAGATTTTACTATCAGCAGTGGCTGCCAGCCATGGCATTTCTATCTCATCAAGCCAGAGCTTTAAGCACACCTTTGCATTTCACCAAGTTTTGTCCTTGAGAAAGTCAGGTGTCCATGGCTAGTTGTAGCCAGACATTTAACCAGATACCCTATCCAAATGCACGAAAAACAAAGGGCTGTTGTGATGGGATAAATGCTTCCCTCTGCGGCCAGCATTTGCATTTTCACTCTCTTTGTCTCTCAGTTCATTGCCCTAGTAAGGTGTCTAGCAGCTGACAACAAACAGAACTCAAAATTTAAGAGAGCCTGCAAATGCCAAGTTAGCTTTACTTGCACATTTAGTGAAAGAAGAGCCTAGGCATCTTGCCATAGTAAAGTAGCAGAACAAAACAAAAACAGAGTTTAAAAGTTTATCTGCTGGAAACCTTTTGTAACCTCGACAATGCCTTTGTATTTCAGGGCTTTTTAAGCTGTCCTTGTCAGGCTAGAAAGATCTCTGCACAGTCGAGAAAATACCTCCCTAAGTTTGGTCTCACAAGACCCTGAGATATGATAAGGCTACAAATCCCAGGTTTTAAAGAAACAATGACAACAAAAGACCAAACAAGCAAAAGAACAGAAGATTGGGATCAGGAGATGAGCTATGGGGCAAAATTCCAGTAGTTTACATTTTTCAAATATCAGGAAAAACCTTCAATTGCAAGAATGATTTTCATGTTTGCTTTTTAGCCCCCCTACCTCTCTAAGAGAGCTTTTTTTTTTTTTTTTTTTGCTTTTTTTTTTTTTTCTCCCCCACTTTGGCTTCTCTAGGCAAGGATTTTTCCTCTCTGCTGTTTATCCTTTCACTCAGTCCTCAGTAAAATGTCAGTAAACAATTGTCATTTGGTATCTGTAAAAGATAATGCAGGTGGAAAGGGGAATACTGAAATCCAATACCTCCCTGTAAGAAACCTACTGTATTATCAACACCAGATAAACTTCATCTTCTCTGTTAGAAACCTGACCTTGTAAATACACTTACTAGGGTAATGGTAAGGGAATACCTATCCAACATGTTTGGGTAAGTTATCAGCAGGTTTTCCTAGCAGAAGGCTGAAGCTTTTTGGAAATTAGATAGCTGATCCAACTTTGCAGTGTCACCTTTAAGGAAGGTTTTCTCTGGATCTCAGTATGAAGCGGGTGAGTTTGCAAAGGAGTTATAATGGGTCCCACTCTGAAGTGCTGGGTACAAAGCAGCAACAAGGTCAGTACAGTGCCTTCAGTTTGAACAAAGTAATTTGAAAAAAAAAAGTCACCTTTACTTAGCTTTCTCAGCACATCACATACTCAAGCATTCAGTTTGTCTCTTCAGTTGGAAACTGTCTTTTCTGTTTGGAAGTACATTACCATCAAAACTGCACTTCAGAGTCTAGAGCTTTGAGGTAAATATATTATTATGTGTGAATTTTGTCATGTGTGAATGTGATTTAAAGAACAAGTTAAAGAACCACTTCCACTGATTAAGACCTGGGCAAAATTCCACTAGACCACTAGAAAGCCATATACAGCCATCCTGTATTTTTGTGGTGCATGTTTGCTCATATTCTAGTAAACTTTTCAAGTAAGCTCACCACTTTTTTTTCTTTTTTTCTTATTTATTTATTTATTTTTAACCTGCAAATTCCTTGAAAAGAAAGGAAGTGCTTTTGGAGCAAACCTTGGCAATACATCCTAGCTCTTGCAGTTTCTGTTCTCGAATATATGTTACTCTCATAAATACAGTATCA